AGGTCCAATCACGGTGTCTAACGCTCGTTGAAATGTTGCTGGAGCGGAGTGCAATCCAAAAGGCATCACGCGCCACTGAAATAGCCCTCGTCCAGGTACCGTAAACGCAGTATATTCTTTACTTTGTTCAGCCATTGGTATTTGCCAATACCCGTTCTTAAGATCAAGGCTGCTGATATATTTGGCGTCTCTGAGTTGATCTAGAATGTGTTGTATACGAGGAATTGGGTAGGCATCTGGTATTGAGTGTGCATTTACCTGACGATAATCTATGCAAAGTCGCCAACTATCATCCTTTTTCTTCACTAATACCACCGGTGAGCTATAAGGGCTATGAGAGCGTTCGATACAACCTTTTTGTAATAATTCATTTATTTCTTTGTCCAGTATTTGTTGCATGACCGGGTTTCGAGGATAGTATCTTTGCTTAATCGGTCTGTCATCCTTCATGGTGATGGAATGTGTGGTGATATTGGACAGTCCTTCAAGAGTGTCGAACTTCGCTAATTCGCGAGCTAAGAATTTGTCCACATGTTCCGATTCACTTACTGTAGAATTCAGCATTACCATCCCTCGTTTCACATTTGTAGTTTTACTAAGTTTGACTGTATTTTCCCCTATTTTGAAGATACTTGACGCCGAAACCAGGAAGTCCATCCCCAAGACCATATCATGTACCATTCCTTCTAACACTAATAGTTCAACTGCATAGTCACAGGCCCCGATTCGCAGTGATGTGTGAATTATTGTATTTATGTTCCGCGGTGAACCATCTGCCAAACGTACCACCAAATCTACTTCGTCGTGTTTGCCATATAAATGTTTTGCTATGCCCGGATGAATAAAACATTTACTGGCCCCTGTATCAACCATGGCTGTCATCTGTTGATCCTGAATGAATATTTTTATAAGAAGACGATTATTTTCAATTATGAATGGTTCTGAGACGGTGTTGGAATGTCGGTCACGCCCCTTGCTTCTGGACGGCGTGACCGCTGGAAGTTTCCCGGAACTTTTCGGCAGCAATCAATTGTTCGTACATCACGTCGGCCGCACTGCCAACAGAAGAGAATACGAGGGTTCTGACATCCTCGCGCTTGGTGTCCTTGTCGTCCACATCGAAAGCAAGCTGAAGCTAGGTTTATTGGTTCCACTGCTGCCAGTACCATCGGCTTATCTCGTCGTTCTGGTGTTGTAAACGATTCCCTTGGTTTTCTGCTTTTTCCTTCGTCCCGAACTGCTTCGTAGTCGTTAGCGAGTAACATCAGCTCTCGTAATGTACAAAACTCGCGTCGCTTTATATGCAGCCTGTATTCTGTTAAACTATTTCGGTAGAATCGTTCAAGCTTTGCTCCATCGTCCATTTTCAAATGTTGCATCAACTTCTGCAATTCCAACACGTAAGTTTTAAATGATTCCCCAGGTTTCTGCATTCTGTTTCTTAGCTCGTCTTCTAAGCGCTCGAAGTAACGATGAGGAAGGAAAAATTCTAGAAAATCGAATTTGAACTGCTCCCAGTGGTCCCAGTCCCCTTTATTGTGACGGAACCATACCAAGGCCTGCCCTTTCAGCAATTCTGGCATCGCACGAGGTAGCATATTTTTAGCAATATCATATCCACTCGCTAACTCTTCCACACGCTCCACAAACGCCAACGGATCGCCGCTCTCATCAAATCGGACCGCCCATTTTCTAGCCTGATCGATGACTGTTGCCTGCATGGTTCTAGGTTGTGTATATGGTACGTGTAACGTATGTTGCGTGTACTGCTGCTGCTGTGTCAATTGTGGAATATTATTTTGCGTTGTCTGTTCTCGGGGTGGCAATGGTATT